ATATTCAGAATATTTCTGTACAAATCATGAAACTCATGCAAAAGAGAGAGGCTATTATTGTAAATTTCATTCCAACAGACCTTTTTAACAGACAATTGCTGAAAATGTGAAAAATTCAAACATTAAGTTAAATAGACCTGATCACAAAACCACTGTTGTGAAGAGAAGGAATTAGCATCAAGGACTATATGAAGAAAAAATCTTTAAAGTACATTTCAAGTATACATTTCTAATAATCATTAGCATATCTCATGAATAATACATTGCTGTTAGCCGGAAGACCACAGAAAAGAAATACTTACAGATCCCCAAGACTCCTCTATGACACACTGTACACACATGTCATACATATGCCAGTCTCCAATATTATCTCCTGACCACTGCCAAACAGCCCCTTGACCAGCAGGTGAACTTTGAGGGTAAAAATGCCTTCTCACATTCACAATTTCCTCTGGAATAAAAAGAATAAGTTAGCATTTGGTTTAACACCTTTCTAAAAATTAATCACAAATCTTATACACCCAATAAAACATATAATCAAATCCCAAAGAGCAACACTTAATTTGATAATAGATGTATGCGAAGTAAAAAAAAATAAAACAAAAAAAAACATGTAATAAAAATTATAATTATCAGGTTGTATAATTAAGCAACACTAGTAAAAGAACTCGTTATGCAGGTTATTTTGACCCATTAATCACAAATATACATAAAGACTTACTTGTTACTTTACACTCTTGTTGCATTGTTGAAAGGTTTACAGAGTAATTATTTAGGGCAGGGTCTGAATCCCCCAAGAACGCTGAACGCAAGTTCTTTGAATGGGCTCGCTCCAGCAACTGTGTAACTTCTGGCGGATATGGCCTCCATCGTCGCTGAGATAAAAAAAAAAATTATTGCTTTATTGTTGTTTTTAACAGCTTTATTTAGTTTTGCTTATACATATCTGTTTCATATTTTCTGTCAGTTACTTGGGATTTTGAAATAATATTGACAGCAGTAATGTTTACTTAACTGTTCTAATTCATAGATAAACTGTTATTATGGTATATGACCATACATTATAATAAATTTAGGTAATATAACTGATTATGAAATAGTAATCAAAAATAATTTGTTTAATCTAAAAGAAATATTTTAGCCCTTTTTGACTTTCTAGTTAAAAAAAAAGGAACATGTAAATCACATAGATCATATCACATACAATGCATTTTTATGATTCATTATTTTGAGTAAATCACAAATCATCCCAATGCTGAATCATAGAAAAT